ATTTATCACCCAGAACTGAGATTTCTTTGTATCTAATGAACTCTATAAAGGTCTTGTAAAATACTAAGACAAAATAAAAACTTAAAAATGTCAATAGATCTCTAGGCAATCAAGTACCGCAGCTTCATTATTTTTATCTCCTGAACGTATCAACTGCAGTGCCAAATAAAATTAGCCAAGATATTATCAGCAATTTAATGAAGTCGAGATCTCAAAGTTATAACGAAGTTTGCACCAGCGGTTCTTAAGCAGCACTTATACGCTTGTAAACTTCTGCTGCTGAGCAGCAAGCTAATTAATAATTCAGAAGAATCTGTGGTAATCAATATATGTGTGGTTTGTTTAATCGTCTCAAATAGTTGAGAGTTTGTAAACAATTTGAGTTTTGGAGGTCGTATTTGAATACTTTGTATATCTTCCGCGGAGTAGCACATAAATGCATTTACTTTTCTGTTATGTAAACCGTCTTTTTACAAATATAATTATTTAATGTACAAATACTATCATAGTATTATTTTGTTAGAAGGATAGTTGTTACACAATAATAGATTAGTAGTTCACACGGGGGGGGGCAAGAACGGGGGCGGGGGGGGCCCGGCGGGGTGGCTCCAAAAAAAGAAAGGAGGAAAGTTGTTATTGTAACAAATTGTATACGTACTGTCTGTAGATTACGCGAGTACTACACATTCAATAAAATACTTTAACGTTTTAAAACGCGATATATTTTAGTTGTCTCCCCGTAACCACGGCTGCTGCAAAGCATCCGACACGTCGGGCGGTGGCTAATAATCATTTTCATACAAGTATATGGTAAAACTTTCTAAAATATATCGTATCTTAAACCGCTAAAGTGTTTTACTAAATTGTATAGGAGCAATAAAACTAGAACATTCTTATTATTTTTTTCTTCTGAGTTCTATAAGTGGTTTAAAAAAATATATAATAATAAAAAGAACTTCCTCATATTCTGTGTTAATTACCGCTACGTAAGTATTAAAACGCGTTGAACTTTAGTAATCGTATTAAAATTCAACAATAATTGCACAATTGCTCGTAAAAACTATCGACTCGTTTTCCAACTTTTCATGACTCTTTAAAGTAATTTTATCGTGAAGTATTTTATTTCTTCAAGTTAGTAGTTTACAAGTGTTAATAATCGTATTTCTTTCGAAGTTCTACTCACGTCTGTGCTAAAAAGTATCAACTTTGGTACACAGTAATAAATTGTATTGTGCTAGAATGGGGTATTTTCCTAACTAAAGCTAGACTTACGTTTTTAATATGTTCCACATTTATTTCACAGCTGTGCTTTACTGTTTCAATTAAACTTGCAGAATATATTGAAACTCAAGATGGCGTTAAAGAGCCTTCACGCTACAAATTAAACAGAATTTAAAATAGAGTAAAAAAATTAGAGTTAGGGAAAAATAGAAATATAACAGTTAAGTAATAAGTTACTTTTTTTCACTTTTACACACTCTTTTTCTGCTATTAGTAAAGAAACTTTACCCTAAAATGTTACAATAACACGATGAAAAATAACGTCAGAAGCAGGTGAAGTACGTTACCTTGTAATAGTTTATGAAATATAAGGTTTTTGCTTAAACTCAAAGGCGACGTTAACAATGGCGCAGAAACACCTCTGTTACCGGTTCGTTGAATGTTTTCCGGATTCTTTAGCACTCTATTTCGGAACTGCGACAGATGTTAGTCCTATTATGTTCTTCAAAAGGATTTATGTATACATGAAACCTGTTTATGGAAACTTGTAGAATTATTGTGAAAAATGTGAAATTTTAAAATATTTGTTTTACTGGCTAGCTTGTTCTTATGGCATAGGACATATTTCGACTTATTTTTATTACAATAAAAATGCTTCTTGTGAGTTTATATTAAAAGATAGACAAATGTATTAATCGTACGACACATTTTTAGATTAATAAAAAAACACATTCTTTTATACACATTTTTTGGTTTCTTAAACCGTTTTCGCAGCGTACCAACCGATGGATAACTATTCCCGTGTTTTTTTCCATATTTTTCATTGCTTCTTCGCTCCTATTGATCGCATCAAGCTATATATAGCTTGGTTAGTTCTTCAATAAAAAAATCCAATCAACACAAAAATCATTATTCAACCCGAACCAGTAGTTCCTGAGATTAGCGCGTTAAAATTTCAGCTATATAATTACTATTCGTAAAAACTATTCTTCATTACGTCCGAAAGGTTTACTCTTTAACGGTTCAAGACCCATTAGTCTAGTCTAGTTAAGGAACTTTAACAGGACTAATGATGAATTACGTTAATAAAATTATAAAGACTAAAAGTGCTAACTTCTGCAACAATGTTCCAAATGGCTTGATAAACTCAAGGGGCTGTTATGAATGCTAATAGTTTCACAACAATACTTCTGAAGTTAATTATTCAAGTCTCCGCGGAAAATCATATTCAACAGACTGCACTTATGAATGGCATTGTTTAATATTTTACAACTACCCTACGTATATTTTCAACGTAAACGTGTGTAACTTTGTTTATAAATTGACGATCTTTATTGTAATAAAGATAGTCAAAGGAATTATTGTATTGCATTAGTTTTCATTTTACTTCCTAATAACAATTTAAGTACGAGTACTGTCTGTAGTTAACGCGATGGTACACCTTTAAATACATTTTGAACTGTTTAAAACGCAAAATACATTACATAATTCCTTTACAATTTTTTCTAAATATTACTACAGATTGCACTGCGTAAAAAATTTTGATTTTTGGCATTAGGGCCGCTCTCCACCTTCAGTCCCTCAAACACTACGGTTGTTGCAAAGGACCTACGTCGGGGCGTAGTTAAAATAAATTGTCAATAATTTATCTAATATACTTCGCGTAAGAGTATTTTATTTTAATTTTTTACAGTTTCTTCAGATCTAAGCGTAGGTATTTAAATACCAAGTTGGTTATTGTTTTTAGCCAAAAAGCACACTTTTTCTAACTTTAATGGTATATAATATTTTCTATGTTTAATGGTATACATAACACATTCCTTCAAAGAGGATTGCCTTTTTATGACTAACCCTGTACATAAATAACTTGGGCGTTAGCTCGTCACGCGAACGAAACAAAGCCACCGTATTAAATCTCATTAAGTTAATAATAAGCTTTTTGGGAGCACCTCCGCCATCGTTAGGAACAAGACAATAGTTTACGTGTACCTGTCAAAACTCAAAGGCCGGAAGAAGAGTTGGACTACTATCTATACTAATACTTTATAGCTGGAGAGTATGTTTGTTTGAACGCGCTTGAAGACCGACTGGTTCAATTTGAAAAAAATGTGTTGGATCTATCGAGGAAGGAAACTACCTGGTTGCGACTAATAGAAGCGAAGTAACAGAGGGAAATGTAATATAAAACAACTGGATAAATTAAACATCTTCGAGGCCTTCCTCTGTATTACGTAACCGTAAACGGATTAAAAAATTAAACAATAAGCACGATTGAATGATTGTGTGACTGATAGTTGTTTGTTAAAAAATATATGATACCCACAATAATTATTTCACGCCGACGAAGTCACGAACGCAGCTAGTGTTATACATTTATACTTAGACTCCCCTGCTGTTAAAGTGTTTTATCTAAACGTGTACTACTCGCGTAAACTACTGACAGTATTTAAAAGTAGCACTAATTATTTATTATTCCATGTTTGCAAAAAAAACACAAAAGAAAACCTTACTTATAGACGTAAAAGTTTTGTAAGTAGAAGAGGTTGGTTGTTATATTCTTAGAAAATTGTGATCCATTATGACCTACTGCGTGGAGTTTCATATACTAATCAAATCAAGATTCGTAACTAGATCAATGTGTTACAGAGGTTTTGTTGTTACTCGTACTTTAGAAATATAAGTATGAAGTGTACTAAGTTAGTAAGTATGGGGGCAGTTTTATTATCTACGTCTCGTATCAAGTTAAACGTTTCTTATAAGTGATTTATTTCACTTGACTCTAATTAAATTAAGATTTGCTTATTTAATAGTTAATATAACTTTTTTACTTTGAATATTTATATAATAATAATAATTAAAACAATATTAAACAGTATATACGAATCAAATGTTGATAAAATTGTCAAAACAATGTCTCAAAGAGATTGAATCTATGTAATTAACAGTTTCATGATTATGATAATTATTCAGACACTAAATTTAAGTATTTATTATATATAATCAAAATACTGGTCGGCCCATAATCTGATACTTTAAGCGAATGGGATCGGCAAACTTTGCCGAATTGCCGACGTGGTTCGGAAACCTCATTTCGGTAACACTGAACAACCGGGACGCGATTCTACTAACCCTAATACTATTACTGTTTCCCTCCAAATCCTTTTCATTTATTCATATAGGGCATTTGATTCCGAAAACGTATATATGTAAGATGCCATTGGGCAATGTTTAGGCATTTATTGCTGATCAAATTCTTTTCTATCTAAAATTTGAGAAAGAAAATCTTAATAGGTTACAGTGAATACCCTTATAAATATAACATGTAAAAGCAATAATTACAAATTAATAATCATCATTTATTTATCAAACAATTGTTTCAAATCTTTAATGTAAACGAAAGTTAAGTAAAAGCCGATATTAGTGTTAATACTAATATAAATTTCTTTTTAACTTTAATATAATTAACTACTTATATTACTATATCGAAAAAAATAACTGAGAATCAGAAGGTAATTTTTACCGATATTATCTATGACATTGTAGTTAATCATCTTAGACTTACGTACAGTGCTTGCGCCATAACTTAGCCATTAATAAATAAATTATCTTTTTATTTGATTTAAATTAGTTTTAGTGTACAACATAATAAATATATAATGTATAATTCTATGACATAGTAGTAATGTAAAAAAACCTATCAGTCTTAAAGAATAATAAAATTCTACTTTAAACATTTCCAGCTGCGAAAGCCGGTATCGACGCTCTCGATCCCAGGCACCATGAAAGCGTACTCCGGGGGTCGGGAAGCCACAGAGGAAGCCGGCGTCGCCCTGGTGGGGGTGCATAGCGAGTACCCGCGCTTCGGTGAAGAGAGGGCGCTTGGCGGTGGCACTTACAAGGGCGGGGGGGCTGCGAAGCATAAACCTAATATAGGATATAGGTAAGTTGAAATTTCTTTTAACTGTTCAACTAGCTGTGTCAGCGATTTCATCCGCGTAGAATAGTATTTTGGGCGTCAAAGTTTGTTTATGCGAACCTCGTCTTCATCTTTATACATTAAGGGTTTGTTAAACATCGATAAATATATAGTGTAGCAGACATTTTTTAGATCTTTTAAAGAGTAATTCTTTCATTCATGTTTTTTGGGTACCCGTTTTCGCAACGTACGCAACGGAAAGCCACAAAGATGAAGAATCTTCCTCATTTTTTTCACATTTCCCGCTGCTTCTTCGATCTTAGTCTAGTAGATAAATGCTCTAACCAGTACAAAAACATTTTTTCAATTTGTGCCAGTAGTTCCTAAGATTAGCGTGATTAAACAAACACTGCAGCTTTAAATATTAGTAAACATAGATGTCGTTAATTGTAAGAGTTTGATATCGAGTAAGTAAAGCGTCTATCACTAGACTGTCTATCAAGAACCGTGATAGTTGAAATGTCAATCACACATGATGTATTTGAATTAGCCCTGTAACACAAACTGAATAACACTTCTCTTTCATTCTATGCCCTTGATTTGAGAATTGGAATTAAATGTAAAATTAATCGTTAGGTTTTAACTGGATGGCATTATAAGTGGACGTAGTGAAAAAAGAATTTGACTTTACTAAAACAAATAAAAAAATCTATACTTTACAACAGTTATTTATTAAATAAAACACTTTATAATTAAACATAAATGATTACGGGGAGAACATGGATATTATCAAGGTTAAATCGCGTTTTACAGCGTTGATGTATTTTATAGCGTTCTAAGACAGTATTTAGTGATTTATTACGCCAGAAGAAGCCAAGGGAACGATACTACGACCTTACCTTTTACATTTAAGCGTTCTCACCTAAATGCGTGTCTCAAATAATTCTAAAATATTTCGTGATAATTGTTATATCCACTTGACAGCGAACAAATATTTGTTCACATGTCCACAACGAATGGCTCGTGTCTAGACTTTGACGGTGAACATTTTTCAAAAGTTTTTCCTTTAAAATTCGAGCTAAGCCACGACGTCAAAATGTCAAATAGAGTTCATATTTTTTGAGGGTTTAGTGCAGTTACTCATGCTTCTATCGAATTAAGTTGATAAATCACTTCGTTTAAGTTTTTCAAACGCATCTAGCCTTTAGTATATTTAGAAAAGTAAGATAAATCATTAATGCTTTAGTAAAAGGATCATTTGTATACGTCACACAAATTAGTATTTTAAATACTGTCTGTAGTTTAACGCGAGTATTACACATAGAAATATAACACTTTAACGGTTTAAAACGCGATATATATATAAGTGAAACTTATTTGAAAATTATTATGAATACGACCCGACGTTACTTTGCAGCAGCCCTGGTAAATTAGTCACGCACGTTTATTTAACTTAGTCCTCGATCAGGTCAGACAAACATGGCGTTTACTTGATAAAAGGTGAAATAGAAATATAATAGGTAAAAATTTTAAATGTATTAGAAATATACTGGACCCGATGGGGTCTAACTCACGACCCGTTGACTAGCCATGCATGATATTAGACCAACGAGCTCGTCACTTACAATATTAGTAGTAGACAGATTTAATCGAGCTTGAACCCTCAACACAGTACTGTATGTACCACAGTCGGTCGCAAATATTGACAGGTTCAAATCAAATATTAGGTCCGGGGAGTCCGCTTCACGAGTAGTACTTACATCAAGCGATATTAGACTAGTTCTATGAAGTTTCTACTTTTAAGTTACTCGTAGGAATTTCGAAATTATGTTTTGTTTTGAGCACAGTTACACAAGTTCTTAGATAAGAATAGAAGTTCTTAGAAATAGCTCAGTTATTTAATTATTAGATAAGGTGAATATAATATTAAGTACTAGTAACGTACATATTAAGAAAGGAAAAATTGAAGCCAAAAGTCCCTGTATGCCTGTATATCCTACAAAAAGGGGGACCCCAAGTTTGTCTGTCCTCCTCGATTAAAAAACAAAAACAAATAGTAGACTTAAATTATATAAGTAAGTAATTATTTTTTTATTTTTGAATTTCAACAATTATTGCTAAATATGTGTATAAGACTGGATCGTTGGCTTAGTATGCATACCAACAGATTGTGGGATTATTATTTATTACATTACATTAAATGGGCGGTAGAAAAATGAAATGGATCACGAACTAACAGATTCTATGGTGAGGGAATTTCCAAACTTCTCTATGGTTCAAAAATCGAAATATATTGAAAAAATTTGCTGGCAGGGCTCATCGGATGTTGCTCTACCAATAGAGCTACCGAGTCCTATTTCTCTATGGTTTTAAAACAAATATTAGTCCAAATAAGACTGGGCTTAAAGATCTCGTTACCAGGCCATTAAATATTTAAAAAAATCGTCAATAATGTTCTTTTTTAAATGATATTCCATTACACGTTCGTATACAAACTTCTAAATGTGAACAGTCAGAACGTATCAGCAGTAATGCCTTAGTAATTCGCTATTTCGGTTTTCATTAAGTCTCAGGGGTAGTAAAACTAATAAAACGTAATAAAGTTACGCGTCTCTCGATCGCTGAGGACATCCATCATGCAAGAATGTTACCCACGAAATACCTAAATATAGAGTATTGGTTTTCTATTGTTTATGATAGAGTGAAGCGGTAGACAGTAAATTAGGATGAAATGACAAGCAACAATTTTGATTAGAGTGGTCGAAATAACATGATATTGAATCTGTGGTAACGATGGTTGTAACGTATTGATACTGTCTATTTCTGATTGATTATTTTTTATTAATGTTTATTGACGAGAGCGTTTTAAAGACATACTATAATTAAGTAGTAAACATCTAACACAAGGAATTCGTTTTATAGGTCGGCATTATAAGCTACATATATTATGTTTAATAAAACATTTTAACGGTTTAAAACGTGAAATATATTACAAATTTTATTTCACCTACAGCTTCAGTCTCGCCGTGACCACGGGTGCTGCAAAGCCTCCGAAACATCTTACACCAAATCTTACATATCGTGTTTGAAACCATTCATATGATTTTATTTAAATGTCTACAACTTGCATACACAGACAATACTAAATTAATATGTTGTAAAAAAGCATGTTCATCCTTAGTGTGCTTGAAAATACAATGTGGTTCATTAAAATCTTCTGCTGAAATGTTTTGTATAATACGAGAGGTTGGAGTACAGCCAGGATCTCAAAAGATTCTTGGCCTGCATGATATATTGTTGATTTTGAATTCCGCGTATCTGCCATCAATTCACAAATAATGATGTTCGACATACTTACGGAATAAATGATGTTGTTTCTTTCACGTCTTGTTCTAATATTCCCAATCTTATACGGCACATAGATTTTGGGGCGTTAGTTGTACTTGTTCCAACCGAAAGAATTATAGTAACGAAAAAAATATGTTCTATATGTTAAAATTAAGATACTAATATGAATGCTAATGTAAACAAAATTTACAAATAATGTGAGTAGAATTCAAAAGTATGTACGAAATTGTGTACGTGGTGAAGACACATTTATACTGTTATTATCGTTTTCGCCATTCGGTATATTAACAATGAAAGCCTTGAAAATTCTATCTTAGATAAAAATACACAGGCGAGAATCGAATCCACGACAAGGAATTTGCGTGCTGTTGCTCTACCGGGGCTTTTAACACACACATATAAGCATATATAATAATATGGGCGAACTGACACTTCACTGACATTAATTTCAAATATTCAAAATATCTCTGTCTGTCTGTCTTCTACTTTTCGTATTCTAATAAACACATTTAATCACTAAAGTTATTTTGCAGTAAAATAAAAAGGTATTACAGTACACGGTACATCGTAGGACAGTACGGTACAGTAAGTACGGGTAATTATTTTACATCTAATATCGCCATTAAAGCGGCACAGGCGTTCAATAAACGGAAATAACTGACGCTGGTGCGCTATCGATTTGTCCATCTTTAGAATGGCATCAGCTATTAAATTATGCATTTAACTGGTATCGTATATCTGTTAAAAGTTAATGATTGTCCCCATTATTTTCAGCCTGGTTTCACAGTTGTGAGTTTTTTATCACCTCGCTAGATGATTACGATGGGAACAAGTAACTGAGATCGTCTCGTTTAAGACTATTATAATGATTAGATGGGGTTAAATTAAGTACATAAAAGATATCATGAAGGATCATTATATAATTGTATTGAAGTATCCGAATATCCCAAGGCTAAAATAGGTCGATAGCGCACGTTGTTATCGTGTTATATATAGCTGGTGTATGCGAACCCTTATGTATATTTTAAGGAAATATTGTGCACATCCAAAATCTGAACGGGATATCAGATTTATCGTAAATATCGAGTATCTGACAAATTAATTCAGTTCGGAATAGAGTTCGTGCCATCGCTTACTATTCCCAGATAAGCTTTATTGATACGACATGATGGACGTTGATTGTCCATCAATGATTAACATTGCGGAGGTGAAGGTGGGCTTTATATTTATAATGAACACCAAAATGATTTATACTTATTCGTCTAAAAGACAAAGAAATCTTAAAAACACTTTACACATGTCATTAATTTTATATTTACATTACGTACTGGCTGTAGTTTACGTGAAGACCTCGGTTGATGCAAAGCATCGGAATCGTCGGTGGTTATTAAAAAAAGTTAAGAAATTGTTTTATCTGAGAATTACTAAATTACAATTTTTAAAACACAATAATTTAATTTAATATTATGTGTTCTTTTGTTAAAGTCTGATTGTTTAATTTGCATATCTGTAAACAAAAGTAATATGTTATATATACTTTGTACATTGTACGTGCCTAGCTAAAGCTAGCCTTATACCTCAGTTGTATTTGCGTTACCTCCGTTAAGATCTAAATTTGAATCTCTGGAGACAATTTAGAACATTATAAATAGATTAGCTTAGACATAATATGTTCATATTTTATTGAAATGTTTTTAACATATACTTTACGTTAAGTTACTAAATCTTATTTGTTATTGTTTCAGGTTAGGTAGAAGAAAGGCATTATTTGAAAAAAGAAAAAGAATAAGTGACTACGCTTTAGTAATGGGGATGTTTGGAATTATTATTATGGTTATAGAAAATGAATTGTCTAGTGCCGGTGTATATAGTAAGGTAAGGATATATTGATAAAGTGCAAGACTTAAACGGTTTTAAAGTACATTATTGCAGCGACCGGCAAGTGAGGCTATGATGGACGAATGTGTGAATAGTGAATATGTATATTTGGTACTTTTCTCCGACAATATACTTAAATCAACGGAAGTTAAAACTAAGTAGTACAATTCAGATATTTAAAAATAATAACGAAGTTGACGATTAACTAATAACAATAGTTTTTTACGCGCCAAAGTACTAAATAGTTTTTTCACTAAACTGGTAACTGGTTGGCATGTAGCGGAATCGAAGATTTTTGAATAACACGCAAATATGGTTTTACATACTAATCTATTTCCCTGCTAAACACGACAGATAAATACTTTTTTGCCACTATTGCCGTCGCGGCTCGACCAGTACAGCTCGATTTATCTCGAAGACTCAAAATAATGGTCAAATTTCCAAGCATGTTTGAGACAAAATTAATTTACTAATTCGAATTTTAAATTAATTTCTAGTTAGTAATTATTAGAAAAAAAAGCGTTCTTGTAACTAAAACAACATTTCGGTCACATGAAATTAAACGTCTATCGCAGAAGTGCCACAGCGCCAACATTTATTTCTTTTTTATTTGAAACAGGCTTTACCTAAATGGATTACTTCGATTTTAATAGATTTAAGAGTGAGAGAAGGCTTCAATTGTAACCGGCCAGGTTCTCATAAACTAATTTTCTATTTGCAGGCTTCAATTTATTCTCAGGCTCTGAAAACGCTTATATCAATGTCGACTGTGATCTTACTAGGCCTAATCGTCGCGTACCATGCATTAGAAGTACAGGTAATTTTTTATATAACCAATTATATTAATGTATATGTAATAGTAGCAATATATGGCTATTGATCAACGACTCGTGGGTTCGAACCCCGCCGGTTCCAACATGTCCAATTGATGTGAACAATTTAGCATATCGACGACCCTCAAATTAATATTCTAATATATACTAATTAATATAGAATAGTTTCGGTTCTGCATGTTGTTAAATTAAATTGTGTATTCATCAAATTAATTTAGCTGAAAAGAAGATAAAAAACTTCAATTTCTCGAAATACATGAAAAACATGTGTTAATACTTTGATGAAATTTTTAACTTAATGTAAAACGATTCCTCATAAAGTTAAAGTTTTTTTTTTGATTTTGTGGATCATTTATAATTAGTTATTATAACCTCCTTCAAAATATAATTCCAGACACAATAGTGATCATAAGAAACTAATATTAATATTAATATCTGTTAATAACCACTGAGTCCTATAGTTATATAAGAGACTTAGAAGCAATAGGCATAATTGGAATATTTGCTTATCTTTTAGGAAGTTCCTGGTAAGATAAAAAAATCGTTTGACCCTAGGATTTGATATACCGTCGCCCAACTACTTGGATGGGACGCACCACTTTTTTGTCAATTTTGAATTTTATTAGGCACGCTATTATATGTTTACAACTTCAACTATATAAGATCGTTACTAAACAACAGTAACGATAAATTATTTATCAATGTATACTGCAATTATGCTACTTACTTAATAAACGTAACTTTGTATGTAAATCGATTCATGAAATTATTTTTTTTCATGTTGGATTCAACTGTACCACTAGGTATTATTTGTACCGAGTTTTTTTGTAGATCAAATAACCAATTAACTGAAACATCTTAACTTATAACACAAAATTTTACGCCGGTTACCACAATCGGTAATATCAAATTCATCCCGGTCAAATGTGCTTTAATTACCCCTTGCTAGCCAATAATTAAACATTGTGCCTTTAACTTATAAGGATAAAATGACTGCTGGCGTTGATGCTCTAGTTGTATTGACAGACAAAAAAGTAAATGATAATGAAGTAAGTCTTTTAAAACTTTTCTTCATAATTGTACTAAAATATAATTTAAAATTTCCAGTTATTTATGATAGACAACTGCGCTGACGATTGGCGGATAGCCATGACGTGGCAGAGGATAGCACAAATCGGTCTAGAATTAAGTATCTGTGCTGTTCATCCTATCCCAGGGCAGTATACATTCACTTGGACGACCAAGCTGGCGAATAAAGGGGGTGTAATTGGTGTGGAAGTTGTAAGTATCAAGTACATGAAGTCCTATAAATACCAGCAATTCTTAAAGAATACTTATAAGCATGTTCCTAGAATTGAAATAAGCTTGCCGTTATTATTATTTTAAGCATTATCTATCAGACATTTAAAGTACAATTTTCTTTTTCCTCAACAATTTTTTTAGCTTTATTTCGTTTCCTAATATTTATTTTAATTTTCTCTCTAGGGCACAATGTACAAACAAATTCAGGTCGGTATATATGTGACTTGCGCGATTTTGTGTGTCCGTTTCCTACGCATGGTAGATGTTTGTTAATTTTATGTGATGGAAGTACTGTGTAAATATCGCGGTTCAGCGCTCATAACAATACAAATAAAAGTAAAAAATCAGACAGTTGAATATTCTTCGTCAACTTTTAGGGTTTAAAAATGTTTTACTTAAATGTTATGGTTATTCAAATATTTGAACCAATATAGAACATCAATATCATGTATTAGCACGGGAGATGGTATGATGATATACTGTAGCCATATTAACGATTAGGAACGACACACTTCGAAAGAAATGTGATCTAATGTACATCTGTCTGTTCAAAGTCTATCGTTTGTTAATTATTAACTTGGCTACAACCCGAGTGTACAGTCCTTTTCATTGTTGACACAATTGTAGTTTGAACACTATAAGAGTGAAGCAAAATTTTTGTAAATTGTAGATGAATGTGGGTTTTAATAACAATTTTTGTTTGCTTTGCAATTTAATATATACTGATACGTAACGTAATGTAATTATTTTTATTACATTGCAGGTGCCCTACGACGTCACGTTATCGCTGCCGATGTTTCTACGGCTTTATTTAATATGCAGGGTTATGCTTCTACACAGCAAACTGTTCACGGATGCCTCTTCGAGAAGTATAGGAGCCTTGAATAGAATTAATTTTAACACTAGGTAAACCTTTGTGCCTTTGCGGTTATAGTGCGTGCGATAAAAGTTTTTTAATAATTTTACATAATTATCACCAGATTTGTACTGAAGACCCTTATGACTATATGTCCCGGTACAGTCTTACTTGTATTCATGGTTTCATTATGGATTATTGCGAGTTGGACACTTCGTCAGTGTGAGAGGTTAGTAAGAAAGTTCTATCGGTGTCATTGTGCAATATTATTAGCTATAATATACATAAAAAGTTAATCCTCATAACCGGTTATATATTCACATGTATAAGCTACCCATTGTATTTCATTCGTAATTCGGCTTTCATTATTTAGTTTCAACACCTTTCTAACAACGGTTTATTGTATCGGTATATTGATGTGTCGCCTAAAAAGGCATGGTGCTTATGTATTGTGGCTATGTGGATACATTTGTTTTGCTTTTTATCCCTGTCTGTGTTTTCTTTACCTATGTTTATTTGAAATTTTCAAAAATCGTAGATGGTTATTCAACGCAAGAGATATAAGAGTTTGACTTTGACTATTTTTGCTAAAGTAGCTTATAATTGATGTGTTAGACCATTGATGTACATTCTTATATAGAGTATGTGTTAGTGTTATTGAGTGCAACTTTATTGATGTTCTAACAAAAGTCTGTTAAAATATGCTATCACACGAAACTAATTTGTTGTAATTGCTTAGACTTCAAATGCTTATAGGAGCACTATGTTCTACTGATGGTATGAATTAAAAGCAATTGCAGATGCTATTAAGCACAAGAACAGTTTAACAGTTCATGAGTAGAATGCCCATATCACAGCACAGGCCTCTTTAAAACTAGTGTCAAGAGGCTTATCAATGTATCTTTACGTCTCTTCTTTCCTACTACGGCTCCTTCTTCAGTGTTGTTGTGTTCATGCAGCCCTGTATCACTAATTGGTATTTCACAGCATGGCTATGTAATTGGTTATCCGTCAAATCAGTGTTTAGACTGCACGTGTATCAATCGAAGTCGTGTTAGTGTATGTAGTTAAAATTATGTTCACCGTTGAAAGGCATGCGAAATATTGTGATTTAAATATTAAATTAATCAATTGAATTGAGAGTAATTTCAAAATTAACGAAATGTCAGCATCGAATTTATTAGCTTTGAATACGATTTATGCTAATTGGTTCTCTATTCGGTTGTCATGTGGTTCTTGTCGGGCATTTTGGCTCTCAGGTTCCACGATGAAGACCATGCCAATTTGCTAAACTCAATGTGGCTGACGGCTATAACCTTCCTTTGTGTCGGCTACGGTGATATCGTACCCAACACATACTGCGGCCGAGGCATTACTCTCACCTGCGGTATGGTGGTATGTATGAATTGCGGTAGGCATTCTCGAAATAACATTCATCACGGACAAACACATTAGGCACAGCAAGGTGACTCCGTCTTGCTATGTCTACAAACATTTTACATCGGCAAAGGTGAGCCATTTTATGTGCCAGCGCAGATCAGTGTTTATGATCAAAGTCAAACTCTTCTAAGTCGTTATTTATCTTCCTTTCCTCGAATTCTCTTCATTTCTCGAAACCCTTCTCTTGACGTAGCTTGCGTAGGTAGGAGAACACATACAGGAATTAATCTTTTAAAGTGAAACTTATATTGTGAGTTCATAAAGGAGTTCCGTTTATTTCCGAAAGGTTTCACGATGAAGAACATGCTAACCTACTCAATGCGATGTGGCTTATCGCAATTACTTTTCTCTCCGTCGGTTTTGGTGACATTGTGCCAAACACGTATTGTGGCAGAGGTATCGCTGTAAGCACCGGTATTATGGTAAGTTTCCTAATAAAATAGATGCTGTGTTGACTGACAAGTCAAATATTGATGTTGAGAATTTTTGGGTTTCAAATTTTATTTTCACGTCAGTCAACACGTGAAGTGTATGAGAACACTGAACAATCGATGTATTAAATGTTCACTGTATGTTCACAGAAACTATGCCGAAGTTATATTATGTAATGTTGCAAATATGATATATAAGTATACATATTCGATGTACACTAAGTGATAAACATATTGAAGTTGAGCATAACACTACAATTACGCAAATATCGTTACTTTGAAGTGGTATAACGTCCATTTCCCTGTTAAAGCCAGCTAATTTTTAGACTTATTCAGTAGTGTGGAATGCTTCATTTCTCCTTTCTGTCTCTTGCTCTTTTCACATGACTTTTCACTAAAATGCACAAATAAATTTATTTTTAAAATGGCTCACTTTTCCTAAAATCTTTATAAAGTGTGTGAAAATATTAGCACTTCTATTAGTTTGTATGGGGTTGGCAGACCGTGTGGTAGTTTCGAGTAAAAATGAAGTGAATTTGCACAAATAGTAAAATGCACGGATTGGATATATTCATCACTAATTCGTAAATTAACTAACTTCAAGACAAAATTTTGTGTGAAGCATCGTTACGTCTCTATTAGAGGAATTGCTCGAAGTTAACATAGATAACGATTCCTTCATACTAACAATTGTTATTAGGCAAATTTTCGATTTCGCACTGATATAAATAACAATACTACTAAAATACATGTCCTAACAGTTAAATAGAACAACATACTTAACATAAATTTTGAGGGTGATCGATGCAAGATAAACGAAGGTTTCAATTAGTTTTTCTTTACGCTTTACTGCATGTTTGATTTGATCTTCTGACTGAATTGTGTCTATTATCCTCGCCTTAAAATAAAATACATAGCAGATAAATTTATTTTAATTTCTAGCCTCGATAACGCATTTTCGTGTAACACATTCAATGTCTTGGTTTTTTGAATTGTCGCCCTTTATATTTTATTTGATTAACCAGCTTTTTTTAACTGTACTGGTTATATCCTAGCTACCATTACGTATTTTGTTGTTGCCAGAGATATTCGGGCCATCGGATTGATTTAGAAGCTCCGTACGTACCGGCAATGAATGTGTTAAGGACTGACAGATCTTGAATGCTTCTTACACATTCGCTTGCATTTTACATTAAGATATTCACTTAACAGGGAGCTGGATGCACTGCGTTATTAGTCGCGGTTGTTTCAAGAAAATTAGAATTAACTAGAGCTGAGAAGCACGTTCATAACTTCATGATGGACACACAACTTACTAAAAGAGTAAGTATTATATTGATGTCGGTTCATCACAATCATTGTAATCTAATTAACAGGGGGCAGGATGTACAGCCTTATTAGTGACCGTTGCTTCGAGAAAATTAGAGTTAACTAGAGCGGAGAAACATGTGCATAACTTCATGATGGAAACACAACTCACAAAAAAGGTAAATCAATACACGAAAACAAAACCTCACAAGGTAAGGCGGTTAATAGTGTGGCTAGAAGCTAACAAAACTTAGTGCCAGGAAACTAACAGCGTGACAACAAATAACAATAGAATAGAACAATTATGCACATAGATGTTCCTTGGTAACGACGTGAAACCAATCCTATACTATCTATCCAATAGTTACTATAATTGCCAAATTTTATTAGTAAAGTTTAGCCAAGATTAGTTCATAATTCACAAGCCAACACTCATCTCAAACCATAACATACCTTAAAAAAACTATATACGAACAATATAACATCCGTCTAAAAATAGGCAGTAGGTACACAATAACGTGTGTTTAACAACAAATTCTAGTGTTAATTAATAGACGTTGTGGATTTCAAGCTAACTGTGTACTCGTATGCTTCGTGAGGAAAAATAATATTTTCTATTCCCTCTACTAATTGAGTTTGCTCATAATACAATTTCAGCTGAAAAACGCCGCAGCCAATGTTTTAAGGGAGACGTGGTTAATATACAAACATACAAGGCTTGTGAAAAGGGTGCACCCGGGACGAGTGAGGACCCATCAAAGAAAATTTTTATTAGCTATTTATGCGTAAGTATTTTGGTTATAAATTTTTCAATATGAAACTTGGACAATATTTATATTAAAATAATAAATTACAGATTAAGGAAAGTAAAAATGGACCAGAGGAAGCTGATGGATAATGCAAACACGATAACAGACATGGCAAAGGTAATTCAGAACCTTTTGGTGTTTTTACTGCTAGCTATTGCTACTATCATACACATCTAGATGAAATAGCACTTCTAGACTTTTAGAGATATCCACTTTTAGAATTCAATAGTGAGCGTTCCTGCTAATAATTCGAAGGAAATAAAGATAAAATACAAATTGGACCTTTTAAAACCAAATTATCAGCATGCCCACATGATCCAGCTATGTGCATGACATTTAGAGTAATCAGCTAGCTTGCATGTTTTTACATGATTAAGTAGAGAATAGCTACTTGTAGTGCAAAGTATAAAATAGTAAAATATAAATGTCTCGATATAGCAAATGTATTATAAAACATATACAGACAATATCTACCAAATGACAATGACACTAGGTTCTTAATTACAACCCTAGTATGGAATAACACATAAAACGTTGCCAAACATAACAAATCGATACTGATCATATTTTTCGTGGACAAAGAACGTTAACGCATTTTTTGAATTTTTTTCACCATGGCAAGTTGCTAATGAGAAAAACGGAAAATTAAACGATTTGAACATTATATAAATCCGTTTCAAAGTCACAACTTTAAATCTAGAATAGATTATAATAGGTTTATTCAGAAACAACACACCAACAACATCTACAATCAAAGCTCGTCCTACAAACTTAATAAATCTAATTAAATTTTAAATAAATACACTAATGCGGTTACCTCTGAAAAGGAAGCCACTCAGATACATTGGGTCTAATGTTCCAACTTTTAAATTTACAAAATACACTGGACAAACAACCTAGATTAATTCTGTCGATGACTATAGAGCTGCAATGCGATTGATAGTAGGACCCCTTCTTGTTACAGACGCAGAATACAGTTTACGAAATAGTATCAGACATGAGCACAAGACAAGACAGCATAGAAGAGAGGTTAACCAGTTTAGAAGAGAAATTGTCTTCATTACAGGTGAAGATGTCTTTTTTAATTCTTGATTTTGTAAGCTTTTTAATTACTCAAACTAAAAAATGAATAAAGACGACAGCATTAAAAAGCTATTTTTTTCATATGCACATGATGGAAGTATATAAATAAAAAAATAAAAATTACGGACTTGAACCGGAATCCACGACCTTTCGCGCAATGTAATTTCAACCTTAACACTACCTTGCGTATTGTAATCGATTTTTAATTTGAGACGAGAGCGGTTTGTTTTTTCTCAAAATATGTTATTTTGAGAAGTATAGCATATTTTAATTATTATTCCAGGAACAAGTAAACAGTTTGCCTGATATGATGGCAAGATGCTTACAGCAGTGTTGGGAGAGAGCTGAACAGAGAAGGAACTTCCTACATCCTGATGCGGCAGCTGTGCCAACGCCTCCGGCGGCTAATATATCTCCATATGCCAGGTATATTGATGGCTTTTGCTTTATATTTTCTTTAAAAACTTATGGATATGGTGCAGACATTTTCGATTGCAATAATGAATACTAAGTTCATAAATGGACTTAACCAATGCAAAAATACCAAAATTCTCAATTTATATTGAAGAGCGGAGGCATCTTGTAATGTTTGTCCTTATCGCTTTATATATGCATCTAATTTGATGTCGTTTCAATTTCAGAACAATCCCCACAGCAACACATCCTTGGCCCCCGAGCCCCATTCTCCAGCCGACGGCGCGCGCGCACTCAGCGCCAGAGAGCGCGTGCGCGCCGTCCCCCGCCCCTCAGACGAGCCCAGCGCCTCGGCCTCCGTTGCCCAGCTGAGTACCGCCCTCCAACTCCGAACTCCTGTGCTGAACACGACGGAAGTCGGCTCCCTGCTCCGAACCCCGTTTTTGTAACCACGCCCCGACACCAGCGGGTAAATTGTTTCACGTTATATTTCGATGACTTTACCGAGACTCTTTTTTACCAATATTTAAAATGGACGTGTTCATAAGTGCTAAATGTCAGTGAAATGTTTACCCCGGACGGACCCGGCTGAGGAGATCAGGTCAGCCGCAGTTTCGCTGTTCCCACTCGTTTCGGATGTGTCGGACCTATTAGTGTTATTATGTGACGGAAGGACGAGCTATTGTGGATAACAAATGCTTTATTTATAGACGCTTTAGCCAACATTAGATATTTTGATTCAGCGTTCGTATTATAAGTACACATCAGTTCATGTTTTATCAAGAACCAATTATATATGGAAATGTATAACTATGTTATAACAATATTAATAGTGATTGAATATCTTATTAATATAAGATGAATGCAAGCTACAGACTTTTTAACGTTAGATAAATTCAGCCAAGTCAAGTCGAGAGACAGCATGCGTACGATCTGATAAGAGAGCCATAGAGATAGATAGATGCAACGTACAATACTTCAACTCGGTCGCTATTTAATTACTATAACACAATGTTATGTCCTTATTAATACCTTTCGATTCTGACAAATTTGTCACCAAATGAAAAGTTTGTAAGCGCGTAGCCTTAGAGTTCGTTATAGTTAAAGACGAGTTCATTAAATTAACGTTTTATTCTGTCAGTTTAATTTTTAGGACTGTTAAAGTAAATAAATAAGATTTATGTGTCTGCGAATCAAACTGCATTGGTTTTTGTAACACACGAAAGTGTAGCATAGTCAATGTTTGAACACATATTCATTCAATACTTAAGCAGAGAACAAGTTTTAAGTTGAAAATATAACGAGTGACTTATACACAGCCAAAAACCCAGGATAACTAATTTGATGTTTCCTAAAGAATAACTTTTAAAAACGAAACCGTATTGTAGTCATCGAGTGTCATTTAGTCACAGATTTCAACGATACACAATTATGCAAATACAACGTCTTTAAATACTGTCTATAGTTTACGCGAATAGTACACATTTAAATAAAACACTTTAACGGTTTAAAACGCGATATATTAGTTAAAATTATTTGGAAATGGTTTTTAACTTCGGCCCGACGTTTCGGATGCTTTGCAGCAGCCGTGGTCACGGGGAGACCCCCTTGAGTCTCCCCGTTTTAAACCGTTAAAGTGTTTTATTTAAACAACGTTTTTAATAATCAATAGCAATTTGAAACATTTTGAAAAATGGCGACAATATTAAAGCCATAAAGACATTTTCCTTATACAAATTCATACTTTATAAGGAATACATACGTACGACAGGTGTGACTGCAATTCAGTGGTACCTTGTAAATGAAACCATCATATAAACACATGTTTAGTACTTTTCGAGAAAAAGGCCTAAGTTTTATTGCTAAACGTTATTTTTAGTTCTTATAATCTATAATCTAGGATCATATTTGAATAAAACATGATTTTAAAGGCTATATATATTTTTATTCAGTCAAAACTGTTAACTTGAAGGAGCATAAAATACTTTAACGTATACAGTCCTTAATATTACTTAGACAAACTTGTTATCACTTATTGAGATGTAGTTTGTAATTTTTATATAAAATTAGTGTAAGTAAAGCTTTGTATAAGAAATTAAGATTGATGGCTGTCTAAATAGTGCCTAAAACACTACAAAATTTCGGTAACTTAGTTTTATTAGTCAATGTATATATATAGTAGCTATAAAGATTCAGAGTATAATATTAATAAATTATTTCTAGTTTATATGGGAAGGAGTCTTGGGAACAATTTATTTATATGTTTTCGTTGGATTATAATTTTGGTAGTATAAGTAAGAACACTAGTCAAAATGCTTGCTCGTTAATATTAAGTATTGTCATGCCTATTTAACTTTGTTTTGAAGCTAAAACGACAATAAGAACGTACGTTACGACGTAAGAACAAATCGTAGACTCCGTTTATTGTTCGTTTAGTATTTTTTGCTTAAACAATTATAACGGTCACTTAGAAGTAAATTAGTAGAACTGAAAACAGTGGATTCTTAAATTTGCGTAAGTTTTTGTTATTGTATAACATAAACTTTTTTGTTCGAAAAATAAGATGCGGTTGGTTTCACTTCAAATACCAAATAAGACAGGAATGTACTCGCCCACGCAGAGAAGTGTTCACCCCATGCCCCGCGAGGGGGAAACGGGATTTCACACACACAAACACGGGTTACGAGTTCCAAAAAAAAGTAAACTTATCGCAAAGCGAATCTCCAAACGAGACAAGAGAATGTTAAAATTTTAAAAACGGAACGGAATATTTGGTGGAACCAATCCCCATCTTATTTATGTTGGAAAAAAGAACCGTTTAATATCTGCTTAATTATAGGTTTTAGTATTAATAACTATCGTTTTATTGTTATGAGTACGCGGCCTTAGTAATTATTTAGATTAACAAATGTATATTTTACTTGGTGCTTAGTATTTCTTTTTCTATGTAAAATACAATGTTTCAACTCTGTAATGTTTTATTATCGCTTACTTTAATAGTTTCCGCTATTAGAACGAGTTTTGGTAATTCACTTTTTTGTAGCAAAATTTGCGACCTTTGATGATAATTACATGTTTTTTCATCACTATGTTATATAACAAAGGAAATATTCTTTACAAAGGGTAACAATAGTATATAATTAAAAGATCAGATGTCAAATCCTCCAAACATTACTATATTACTAGACTGTTTGTTTAACATTTTCGCACTGTTTAATTAATGAAGGAAATTTCTATTAGATTTTTAACACGAAACACCAATTTAGAATAAAGACTAGACTAGTGACAAAGCGAGATATTTAACCAAATAGTTTGCACATTATACATATACATATGAGTAACAATCGAGAAATATTTGTTAAGTTAATTATGAAAATGTTAAGATGTTGCCTTGTTGCTTATGTTAGACCGTCAAAATAAATAATTGTATAATATAAATGATTTTAATTGTTAATTAACAGCTATGAGGATGATTTAATTAAAGTTTTTATGTAAACATCACACATCGTGCATAGTTTAGTATTACATGATAAAGCATAATAAATATGCCGATTGTTTGAAATAGCTTTGTATTTAATCGTAACAGGCCTTATCGTAATTTTTGTTATTAGATTAATAATAATTCAAGTTAATTATACCAATAAAAAACTAAGATGCATTGACCAAAACGTTGTTAGGGTTAAAAGTAAATTTTGTAAAATATGTAAATTACAATGTAAAAAAATTAATGTAAAAAGTTATAATTGCGAATTTTAATGTACATAATATTATATACCTATTGTAATAAAATATAGTTCAAGTTAATCGTTTTCATACAACTTCGTTTAAATATTTGTATGGGAATGATGGTGCGCGGTGCAAACAAAAGATGCAACTTTTGTGATCATTGTTGATGAAAGTGTAACTTCGAATATATGAGCTGTAGTATTTTCTAAGAGGCTTTTTATTTTTCTTTACCCATCAAGCAAATATAACTCACCTCATACAAAAGAAAAATGTTAAACAACTAAGATGTACTACTTTTGCTGTGCCACAAATTCTTTCAATGCCATGGGGAAATGACAGCATCTACATATTTTCATACTGCGGGATGGTATAAGAATTATTATTAGTAAAATTCCCATAAATGAACTAAAATTTCACTCTTATCATTAAGATTTGATTAGATTATTCACTGTGTTATCTTTTAGTCGACCGGCAGGTGGATATAAATTTAGAAATAAGGCATTACGGTCTATGGGCTAGAAAAAAAAACAGCGGCAATCTTCTCTTTATTTAGAAAAATAGCATACCTTAGATAATTCCCAAAGATCTGGAGGTCGTAAACTTTGCTTTTGTATTATTGAAGACTGAGCTATTGGAATCATTTGAATTAAGAATCCTGTAGATATAGCATAGGACGGATCCATTTTTGAGTTTGTTTCAGTGATCCGTATTACAGGCATGTAGTTATATCTTTGTAATTTTCATCTTCAATGATTTCGTAAGCTGCAAAGCATAAGGCGTTGAACCTTAATACACAAATGTTAAGGTTGAAATTACATTGCGCGATAGGCGCATGTATCAATAAGTTGAAAAGTCGACGATGAGGTGTTCGACTCGGTGGTTCAATTGGTAGAGCAACATCACGGAACGCTGACGATGCCGGTTCAAGTACTGTCCGAGTCGAAATTTTTTTCGATTGTTTTAAATTAGGCATGTAGTTACTAAGGCATTAAGAAGTTCGGTGCCCTTCACGACTTGCCCAATTTCTCATGAATGCCCGAAATTCAATCTTTCACGCTTAACACAATGTGTATATTGACTCACAGATTCAGTCATATTTCATTTATTAAATAATGAATGGATTTATTAACCCCTTCGCGGTAAAACTGGATCTTTGTTACAAATTATTGCTTCATTATGTGTACAAATGGTATTTTGCTAATCGTTAACCACATCTTCTGCTTGAAATATTACTCACGCCACCCACTACCCTATCCAAAATGAACATCAATCATAGATTCATAATTGAATGTTCTCAAACACACGTTTAATTATAAGAGGATTGATCTAATGATATATCTCTAAGATTCACACACACATGTATTTTATGTTAAGGAGGTGTATATCGACAAAAAATATATATTTTATATTGCCTCTAGATGCTAAACTAAGATGACCTTAGATACCTGAAAGGTAACATTAAAGAAGGCCCCTCTTACTTAATTAGAAAGCACCTGGATTACTTCCTCCATCTATCTAATTAATAGATAATAATTACATTTTTATTATTAAAGTGACCCCTTGCCACTTATTGCAAACATCAAAGAGTTTTAAAAATTGCTAATAATCAAAGAGTCGTGAGTTCAAACTCCAACATATTTATAATAATTTAATATTTTTTCAAACAAAATTGGACTTCGTCTGGAAATCTAGATAATGGGTCGCAGGAAATCCGCCTGGGTCCACGAACCACTGTCCATACATGGAAAAGTGCGTAAAAAAAGTTTAATCGCGTTTCGGCTTCAGTCTGTGGACATCCGAATATTCAAAGCCCAGGGCGACAGCATATCTCGTATAAATATAGATAATTCTGGTGTTCCACCTTCCATTAAGTAAGCCCCATCTGTCCTTCTCTATCATAAAAAAAATATATTTATAGTTCCTACTCCTATATGACTTAAGCTTATGCGAGTTAACGTCTTAGAACGCATGTATTTTAGGTCACCTACGGCAGTAAAAACGTAGTATTCTTTACGACGTTTTCCTTTATCAAACAGCATGTATAAGATGTGTACGAGTTAAATACCGGCAAGAATTAAACTCATAATTTAGTTCAAAGGTCGGGATCAAATTGCATAATTGTATTCATCAAAATTCATATTTAAGAAGCATCCTTTGATTAATATTTTACAGCCACTACTAAAATTGTCTCGCAATGATAAAACAATGTCGGTTTTCACCTCATAAAATAGTAACGCTAAAGCATTTATGTGTGTTATTTACGCGTGAAGCGTTAATGCTGAAGATAAAAGGGGTCGAAACAGAATTCTCTATGAACCAGCTAAAGATTAGGAAATAAATTGTACTTTCACTAGAACTTGTAAATTATGAAGCACTCTACTTATGGATTGGTATAATTATTTTATTACCTCTTGTGGTAGCTGAGTATTTCATGAATTAAATTTATGTAGTGAAAATGCTAAATATTTGATAAGGCGTTTAAATTGAAAACTTTATGATTAAAATCTAAGCTGTTTTACATATGAAACACCATTTTTCATTTAAATAAAACACTTTGACGGTTGAAAACGGTAAAAATATATTTTTGGTTAAACTTGTTTGAAAATTATTTTAACTACGGTTCGGTGTCTGTACATACACATATATATATATATATATATATATATATAATATATATATTTGGCGTTTTAAACCGTTAGAGTTTTTATTTCAATGTGTAGGTACCTACACTGTGTACTACTCGCGTAAATAACACAACGTCTATCAATTTAAATAAAAAACTTTAACGGTTTAAAACGCGATATATTAGTTAAACTTATTTGAAAATGATTTTAACTTCGGCCCAACGTTTCGGATGCTTTGCAGCAGCCGTGGTGACGGGGAGACTAGCATCCGAAACGTCGGGCCGAAGTTAAAATAATTTTCAAATAAGTTTAACTAATATCGTCTATCAAATTCATTAATTGTGATAATTTAGATACACTTCTATAAGTGACGATTATCCTCGTATAACGGCTAAATAGTATTAAGCGAAGAGCTACAACACGGCAAATTTGTTTGTAGATTTACAAGTTCAAAAAGGCGGTTAAATAATTTTTTGTTGTTCGCTTTTGCGTGATGTATGAAATGTACGTATGTCAAATTATTAATACTGACCACGCATTGCTGGGTACTGATCAAGCGCTTGTAATACTATCGATCATTCGCAGTGAACATGCTAACCAAACACGTTCGGCGTAATATGTTTGTTGCAAACTCGGTGCACAAACAAGCATTAATGAAAAATAGGCCAGCCATATAATATCATATATAAGTTAGATGCGCTGTCGACCGTTGGCTTTGATTTTTGAAGATACAAAGACCGACCGAAACGCGATTAACCTTTTGATGTGTTTGTGACAATTCGGATAGGTCGTGACCCAGACGGATTTATAATATTCCTACCATGACAACGAGTGTGTTTCTTGCGCTAACAACGAGGCAATACAGCATACAGCATATATAACGATGTAACGATGTGTTACATGTTACATTACACTGGACGCTTTTGCTCAGAACTCAGCTTATTACATACGTTACACTGTATTCGTGGAATATTTAATAAATAACGCGCCATTTCAAGACAAATACCTGTTTCCAAGATATCCATTAGACACAATGGTTAGCAATAATTGCTTTTTTTAAATTATGTATACAGATGTTACAAAAACAAGAACGCGTTAACAGTTGGAATTTGCTAGTTAAACAAATTTAATTATTGTATCTTCGCTTCTCGATGACCTCACGACGCAATTTTGCCTCTTACAAAACCGCTCATCCGAGACTAATTTGTTTTTATACATATTATATTTGGAGATTCATTAAGGCTACAGATGTAAGACAAGTACTTCTGTTTGTGGTGTTTTAATTTTCTAAAGTCAGTTTTATAATTTAGAGCAATTACCGTTGATATAATCTATGGTATCAAAATATCACTTTATTATTTCTATAGGCGTAAAAAATATGTCAAATGGATTGTTTTATAATTTAAGGTTAGTTCTGAAAAATGGTATACGTTTTACGTCAACATAATTCGCAAATTATGTATGTACCTGCCGGTGCTAATTCTATATATTAATTGCAACGGGGAAACATTCTAGTATCTAGGAAATATGAAAAAAATAAAAATTCTAAAACGAGGGCGGGATTTAAATTCAAAACCAACTCGATTCCTGCTGCTACAAATTGAGCTAAGGAGGTAACTTTAATATTTTTCACATGTTATTGCACATGATGACACTATATAATTTAAAAATCGATTAAAAATTGACTCGGCAACTTAATTGGTTACAGCAACAGCACGAAACGTCGTTAATGTCGGTTTAAGACCTGGCCAAATCGTTAATGTTTTTCAATTCATAATCGATTTTTAAATTATAATGTGTTTCAATTTACATACATTTTATTTATATTACCTTTTCAAATACGTAAAATATAATTTAACATAATAATGTACCTATTATTTGCATTATTAAATTTAATCAAAAACAATTAAGGACCCTTTAAAAATTTACATTACGATTTCTCGTTAAATCTACAGCGTTCTCTCGATATTTACTTACATTCAACAGCTGTGGAAGCACTTCACACCTATACAAATAAACAGAAGATACAGTGGAAAACTGCGCCACACGGTTGCTACAATTTTACCTATAGGCCACCAAGAATCCTCCTGCACGACAGGCCGCGCGGCAGTATGCGATCTGACGTTCGCGTAGAAGTGTTTGTCGAGGCAACTCCATATTTACGATTTGTTGATAGAATCGCGTAGACTTTGTTATTAGTGCAGTGTTAGTGAAAATTGTTGTACATTGGAATAGTTTTTATTTGTGTTTAACACATCGGAAAGTAAGTTAAAAAAAATATGTTATACTACTTTATATTGAAATTATTTTTTCGTTTAATTTGAAAAATATGATTGTTAGATGCAGTTTAACGGTTCAAAATGCGAAATATATTCGGTGGTTTATTTTAATTACTATATTCGTTACTTGTTAATTCTTTTTTTTAATATTCAATTTAATTAAAAACTAACATTAGTTTATTTCAAAATATTATAAGAAGATGTAACTTTATTGCAGTAAGTTAAATTTCATTTCTAAAAGCAAAAATGAAATGCCTTAAGGTTAGCTTCAAAAATCATCCAAATCATGCTTCAATATTTATGAATACATTTTCTTATGTGGAATACTAAAACAAGTTTTGGGCGATTAATTTATAAAATAACGAGTAAAGCCATTACACACACTAACAAACACGACTCTACAATTGCCATTTTATTTATATAAATAGACCGCATAAATGTGAATATGGTATCATGATTTAAATATCTTATTACGTTAGTGATCGATACATTTATATGTAAAAAGCGTTATTTTTAATCAATTTTATATATATAATAGTATTGAATTATATTCGTCATATTTGCAGGATCGTGTAAGTAAATTACTAATGGGAATTTTATTTGCAACCAGTCTGATAGTTTTTGCGTATCGTCTGGATGAGGTTTTGATGTAAAAAAAAGGTCACTGAAGTATAATCACCTCCTGCAAATATATGTAAAATACGCGAAATTGTCGAAATGATGTAATATTATTTAATCGGCATTAAATAAAGGTAATCTGCCGGGCTAGCGCTTTAAGTTATACCGCCCCTGTAGCTAAATGGATAAACGTGTTATCCTGCATTGCGTAAAGCGCCAGTAATGGGTTCGGAAGCCGGGAAATAATGCTTCGGTCGGGTAGGGCACAGAAGTCTGTTAAACTTCTTACCTGTAAATACAAAAAACTACAAGTGAAACGGACACAAAATGTTTTTCCCCATGCCCCACGGGAAACGGGATTTCACTCCTGCAATTATTAGTATCTTAGGTATTTTTATATAAATCCGATAGAGATACGAACACGACAATTAACAATGCCACAAAATAATTTGTGTGATTAGGAGGTCAAAATACATAAGTATACCAAATTTCAGATCGGTCGGCGGTATGCGCTTTTTGGAAGTTTATCCATATAAACAAATGTAACATAGTTTTAATCAAATTTATATTGTTTTACATATTCATAAATATATCTGTATAATAATACATAAAGAAATATACCCGTTGAAAAAAAATTATACATTAGTAAGCTGTGTTTTTTTTATATTTAAAGTTTACCACAAGACCGTATTGTGACTTTAAGTGAATATAATAAGCTATACTGTAAAGATTTTCCTTTTTTATGACAAAAGGTGAAAAACTCCAGCCATATAATAGATGTAGAGGCCTACACCTATACAAGATCTGCTGCGACCTACTTTGACTTTGGACATTCGGGAATCTTCAGACTGAAACTTTAGTCTCGATTATGATGGAATTTTGATATTTCTACCACCCATTTATATCTCGACATTTCAGACAAAGCTTCAAAATAAGTAACAAAAAATTTTAGGAAACAATAATATTGTGTTTTTCTGACGTTTACAATTACTTAAAGACAACGATACATGTACAAGTCTTTATTAGATATAAAATGTTCCTAATATGCCTCGTCATAAAATAAATTGAGACGTAATGTTACTCCACCGCACATTACGATCAATTGATTCAGTTTAACTTATTCGCTCTAATGGATTCTAAGTAGAACAATAATCAATGTATAAGTAACTTTTTATAGTTAGTGTCAGCCTTTGATCTTTTGCCGGCTCTTGACATATACAGGTTGTTGTCAGACTTATCATATTAAAACGCATTCGGCCTTATTACAAAAAAAAAAACTTAAACCAGAACTGCGGAGTCTTGGTTTAACTCTTAAACCATGGTCTAAATAATTTAAGTTTGTACCATAGTTAGTCCAGTAAAGTATTAAACTTTGTTTTATAATAAGGATTTCAAATAAACCAGGTTTGAGAGTGTATGTAATAAATACCATATCAAAAAGCTTGTTCGATCAAATTTAAAGAAGATATTCTTTTTTCTTACAATGTAAATATGGATGAAGGCGCTTAATTTTTAACTTTTAATAGTAGTAGAAACCTAATGGCAAAAAACTACAACACGAACTTCGTAGATATAAATGATCTCGTGTTCCTTGCATACAGTTGCATAATAATTTCTCCGCTTAAAGCACTCGGCAAATTTTAATGAAATTTTGCATTTAAATAAAACACTTTAACGGTTTGAAACGCGATATATTAGTTAAACTTATTTGAAATTTTAATTTCTGGATCCCAATAAAACGGACCCAATCAACAGCATATCCACACACCCGGAGAACCCGTTAGTAAAAACTCTGGACCCGGCCAGTTTCCCAATACATTCGAAACAGGTGGCATACCGACAATTTTTACGCGAAGAAACCTCCATCTTAGTCAATTCTCGTAAGCACGACTGTTGCAAAGACCGAAACGTCGGGCCGAAGTTAAAGATCATTTTCAAATAAGTTTAACTAATATATCGCGTTTTAACTTGTGTTTTACTTAAATGTGTACACTCGCGTAAACTATAGACGAAATTTTGCATATATGCTCATAATCCGTCAATTATGAAAATAGTTGAAATAAAATCTAACCGTTATTTTTTATTCTCAATAACTATAAAATTTTGCAGAGGCTGTGTCCGATCTATTTTGGTATATTAGTAATTAATTATGATTATATTAATTATAAAGGTTGCACTTAAGTATGTTACAGATAAATATTATTTCTTAATAAACATCTCGTTAAAGCGTTGATTCTACTTGGTATCGAACAAAACAGTTCAGTTCTTTGGCTTACAGGAATTACAATCAGCAACGTTTTTTGTTATAGCGTCTCGGTTTTAATACGAAATAGATGTTATATCATTTTTATAGGTTCAGAATTATAATTCGGGTAGTAAGGAAGTAAAAAGTAATATATTTCTTGAAAGTTTTAGATAAAATCAATTCATTCGAGGGTTTAGTTACTTTTATTTAGATTTTTTGTTTGTGTTGTTTATAACTCATACCACAAAAAAAATATATGAAAGAGGAAAAATTTTACTGACTTATTAATAAAAGGCGGCCTTATCGCTAAGTAGCGATCTCTTACAGACAACCTAAGTACAGAGAAAAAAATAGAAAAAGTTATGATTTCTATTTTTAGAAATAAATAAAGCTGACGGCATTTGGCAGATTAATCCTGATCACTTAGTTTCAATTAAAGGAAATAAGTACGATAATATTATAGTTATATCAAAGGTCACGATCATAAGATATGACCTTTCAACATGGAAAATATTTTTCTTAGGATTTACATATGCAATATGGTAACCACGCGCGATTTCCAATTTTTAATTTGATTCGTTTTGACGTCACTGAAATTACAATAAAACTTTTTAAAACTCCAAAATTGAAGGATGCGGAAGGAATTCTTTTTATCTGTGGTTTTCACATATGGAATATAAAAAATAAACTCATGCGTGTATACGATATAGTACCTTTATATATGTAAAGCTATATGGGGAATCGGGTAAATACAAATAGGCATCTTCTATTGCTTAATTAATTCTACCATGATTCGAATCCAGGACGAGTGGATTCCGAGGATACGTCATCTCTCGCTTCGTTAAATACGACGTGCGAATTATGTAAAATTTCCAAATTGTTTACGGCAATACATTGTTGAATAAGTAGTAATAATTCAAGTTTATGTTAAAAACAATCGAAAATAAATTGAAAAAAATTTCGACTCGGGCAGGACTTGAAGCGGCATCGTCAGCGTTCCGTGCTGTTGCTCTAACTAAAGTAAAAAATAAGTAAGTAGTCTAAGTAGTAGTATTTAAATAAAAAACTTTAACGGTTTAAAACGCGATATATATTAGTTAAACTTTTTAGAGGCCACGGCTGCAGCAAAGCATCCGAAACGTCGGACTGAAGTTAAATATAATTTAAAAATATGTTGAACTAATATATATCGCTTTAAATCGTTAAAGTGTTTTATTTAAATGCGTACTACTCGCGTAAACTACAGTAACAGTATTTAAGTAGTATTTTTTTTTAAGTTATACTTAGTGGTATTTCAGTATTTCCTTACAGTAGAAAATCATTAATTTTTAGCAGATCCTCAAATCTTCGTTGTTGATTTCCACAATCTTAATGTGCGTGTAAATTAATTAAGTTACAACTTTATATTATGTTAGAGCGCGTGTATGTGTTTAAGCACAATGGTAAACATCCTTTCCCTCGCTGTTGGGGTAATAAATCAGTGTTTGCCTAGTATTGCATAATATTGCAGCGTTTTATTTGAACTCCAAGCTGTAGAAGAGAAAGCTATTTCTCTACGAGAAGTGTTATGGATTCCAATCGCAATTCGCAATAAGAACGAAACTTAACAAAAATTGGTGTCTCTAGGTATTGTCTGCAAAGTATCCGTAGCGTCGGGCCGAAGTAAAAATTATCGTATATGAGTCAATCATTATATCTCGCGTTTTTTACCAGTTAAAGTGTATTATTGATGTGCCTTATAGGAAAGAAGATATGTATGCTTTAAGTAACTTTACAATTACAAAGCATTGCAATTTACGTCTACTGTAAAAGCTGTGAGTAAATTATTTATCAAAATTCCCTTATTTCATCGAACTATGGCTATAAATACAGTAAACTTTTGTCAACTGACCAAAAAAATCCATACTTAGTTTAAAAAAGGCTTTACGTATTAAATGTAGATATAGCCGTCTTTCCTTACTAGGTACAATAATTCATCCCAGGGCTCCCTCAAAACACCGTAAAGGCTGGGGGTGTGTTTAGTGGTTCTGGTCTGCTATACGATTTACCACACTCCCCATATTACTATTGCCCGACGTGGGATGCATTAGGCATTCACACGATCAGTAAAAAAAATGTCTA